TAGGAAATTGCTTTCTTGGTTCATGTATATAAAGAAGATCATTATTATATTTAAACGTTTTCGCAATCAAGCACCATGCAGAAGTAAATTATCGAAGGATGAAGTGCATCATAGCCATAGGTGCCTTAGCACACACACGCTTTCCCTTTCTTGAAAGGAAATAATCAATTCATATAAAAAAAATCTGGAATGATACCAACCTATGTGATTCTTTTAAGAAATTTCCATATATAGTTTTGTGAGAGAAATTTCCGGAGTAACATGGCATATACAATAGGCTTGATTGGTAGAAACTGTAGGGGCTGTGTACAGCACTTTGGCATTTCTACAGCATTAAATTTTACCAATCATGCTCTAGAATTTTTTTTCAAAGCCACAGCTCAAAAAATAAAAAATGTGGTTTTTGGCTTTGCACAGCCAATATTTCCACATCAACCAAAACATTGCTTTCGATTATTTTTTTCCTTTTTTATCTTACTTCTTCACGATGATTTTTTTTTTTTTTAACCTTATGTTTTATACCTTTGCCACTTAACAATTTACTTCTTTTTTCTTTTAAATCATAAACACGTTTTTAGCTTTCAAACATTTGTTTAATTTTATTATTATATATCAATGTTCAAGAAAGCGCTAGACGCTAAGCGGACAGTGACCCAATGCCTAGTGCCTAGAACGCCTAATCGGAACCTAGGCGATTTAATAAGCGGTCTAAATGTTTTACAAAAATACGTAATATATTAGATATATATAATAAAATATATAAAAAACCATAATTTATAACTAATAAAATTTATGTTGTATTATATTCATCATTTTATAGCCAAATATATAATTTTTTACGATTTATATATAAAAAATTATATTATTTTATTGTTATAATATCATAATATTTTAGACAACAAAAGCGGTAATCGCCACGGTCTATAGGGGCCTAGCGCCGCCTAGGCGAACGCCTAGAACGCTTTTTAGCAAAATCGGGGCCAATATATACTACATAACTTTGCTACAATAATATATACTAGAGATCTACTACAGAATTGTGTTTCTTGTCACTCTCACATGACGCGAGAGGAGTATGTGATCGAGGTCAATGTGGTCTTTGCCGTTGACAATACTTTGTTAGAACCTCTTTTGAAAGGCTTCTTCGGCAATTGGTTTAGGTGAGATTGGCTTTTGCGGTTTGCTATCGCTCCTTCATTTCTGCAGTAAATTTTAGAAGAGCAACTAACATCGGTATCACTTTGTCTATCTCCATTATCTATCGGGTTAATGTCGAGCGGACGGACTGAAAATCGTTCTTGTTTTATGTGTCCATGTTTTACTTTTTTTTTGCCATGGGATCATAGTATAAGTTTTATAATTCATTTTGTAAAACCAAATCTTTTTCATTTACCATTTAGTAAAAAAATCTGCTGCAA